AAAATGTTCTGTTGTGAGTGCAGAGAACTTCTCTAATAATTTAATAAAATAGATGAAATTGAGAAACTGTCAAATCCTGTGGAGCACCTGGGGCTTTACCAAGATAACAAGGTTTGTTGTCTGGGGGGTATGCAAGCTGCTAAGGAAATTCACAGCAGGCACAGGGCATTCAAACAAAAGGGCTAAATGAGGAATTGATTTAAAGGGAGTGAGACAGGATATTAAACTTTGGAGGCCTATAAAAACTGCTTGGTGATTAGTAATATTAATTATCATCATAATATGAATAATAACAGTGTTCATGATAACTAACTACTCTGCTAAACTTTTATGGGTACCCATATTATGGATGAGAAAACTAATGATCAGAGCAAAGGGATTTCCGTCTATGACAATATGTCAGGCTAAATAACCCGTAAACTAAAATTCACAAAGCATTAGACATGCTGAGTGGAATAACTCAGCATGAGTTTTAGTTTTAAAAATGGAGTTTGCAATTAGTTTCGTTAAGAGTCAAAATCAAAGGATGGAGTGCATATTAGAGCAGTGAATAGATATATATAATGCAGCTATTCCTTAAGGGGTGATTGGGTCCAGTGACTAGACTTAGTGAAAAAGGGACCTTGGTTTTAATGACCACAAGAGGGCAAAATATAAGGTGCTAGCCCTGTATGAAGTGAGTCATTGGTACTGAGATTCCACTACATAAAATTAGTGATTTTAAAAAGTTATACCTTTGGTGAAAAGATACAATAGGTAGAAATCCACCCACGGGGACAAGAAGACCACAAGGAAACCTAACTATCTCTCCAAGTCTCTGGGTGGCGGGAAAAATGGACTTCTTTGAGAATTTGTATACATGGGTCTTTTGTCACATGAGTTTGGAGTTCTAATACACATTAACCAAGTGATCCAAGAAGCCCCAAGGTGAGACTCTAACACTAAAAAATTATTCTAAGCAAAGGATATCTACTAAGTCACCTGGCAGAAACAAATGAAGGAACATATCCTCAACATGAACCATCTCCAAGTCCCAAAATAAAGTCTTCCTGAAAATGAGTGCACAATCCAAAAATCACAAAACACAAAAGGAAAAATGCACCATGAATGAAAGTCAGCAGTCATAACAAACAACAGGAAAAATCCCAAAGAACTTCACATAATAGAACATTTAGATAGAGACTGTAGAATACATATTAAATTAATTGAAGACATAAAAGAAGAAATAATTGAGAAAAGATCAATAAAGACTAAGCATATATGAAAAAATCTCTAGAAAGTAAAAATAAAATAATTGTAAATAAAATCTTAGTGGATTGACTATTAACAAATAAGCACACTTTAAGAACTGGAGAACAAAATTAAGCTGAGAAAATATAACACAAAGAGTTAGAGAGAATAAAAATGGCAGCCAAATATAGTGACTCAGCATGTAATCCCAGCTATTGAGAAGAATGAAGTGAGAGGATCACCAGAGCTCAGAATTTTGAGGCTTCCATGAGAGATCATGCCATTGCATTTCAGCCTCAGTGACAGAGTGAAATCCTGTCTCTAAAATAATTAAACACAATTTAAAAAAAAGAAAAATGTCAACAAAGTCAGCATACAAAGAAAAAAGAATAAGAAAATCCAACATATATATATTAAGGGTCCCAGGCCAAGTGAATAAAGAGAATAAGAGAAATTATTTGAAGAAAGAGGAATCTTCAGATTCAGGAAATGGACTGTGTTCTAAGCATAGTAAATAAAACTAAATTCACACCAAAATGCATTTTGCTGCTGAACTGTAAAACACAAGAGGCAAAGAGAAGATCTAACACTCAAACAGAAGAAAAGGCAGGTCAACTAAAAAAAGAGCAATAACAATCAGACTTACAGCAGACATCTCAATCACATCACTAGAAGCTAAGACACAAAGGGCCAACATCTTCAAAGTGCAAATAGAAAACAGGATTCTGACTTAATCATTTACAAGTAAGGCCAAACTGAAAACATTTTCAGACAAGCAAAGGAGAGAGTTAACCTTTAAAAAATCTATCACTGAAAAAACTATGAAAGGATGTACTTCAAAAAGAAAGAGATGAACACAGAAGTAAGGAATTGGAAATATGTAAAATAGAAAATGAAAGAACTGGTAAACATATTGGTAAATCTGAATAAACTGACTTCCTAAAACAATAATGGTGATGACTGATGATGGAACAGAAGGGTAACTGTACTTAAAACCTGAATCCTTGTACTGTTTGTAAGAAGAAGAAAAATATTGACCAACTGTAGACTTGTTTAGATTTGATGTCAACTATACATGGTAAATTTTAAGGAAATTCATGATAGAGACAATGGCAGAATTAAGAGAATGTATTTAAGGGAATAAGAGAGAGATAATATTATGTTTGAGCAGTGGTAACTTAAGAAAAAGACCAAAAAAATAGGGAAAAAAAAAGTAGAAATGAGGAAGGGAGAAACTAGTGAAGGGAAAAAAGAGAAAATAAAGAAAACTTAATCCAATAGAAAATAGAAACAGAGACTTTTTTGAGCATTACAAAAGTAAGGGTAAAAATTACAAAATGAGAAGGTAGGAATAAACCTAAAATTATCAATAAACATAAATGCATTAAACATACTAATCAAAAGAAAAATATTTGATTTTTTTATTACAAGAGATTTTTCTAGAATGTAAGGACACCAAAAGTTTAAAAGTATAGAAAAATTGTTTTTTAAAAAATCCAGCTGATAGAGCTATATTTATGCTAGACAAATCTGTAAGAAAAAACATTATTAGGGGAGTTAAAGGAACAATTCAGTCAGAAAGAAATAAAATTGTAATCTTATACTCACATTATGATCATAATCTAAAATGTACTTAAAGCAAAAAAACAGGCAAATCTTTGAACATTTGTTCAGTGATTAGGTAGACAAAAAATTAGGGAAGGTATAGATGTGGACAATACAATGTGTAAGATTGATCAAAGGAACAAATATAGATCCTGAACACTGAACATTTTGAGAGTATATATCGTCTTCAAACACTAGGCATCAGTTATAAAAACTGACCACTTTGCTGATCACAAAGCAAGTCTCAAAAAACTCCAGAGTCTGTATAATAGAGACCACAATACATAAAAGTGAGAAATCAGTAAGTAAAGATAAATACATATATATTTGGAAATTTTAATGCACTTTCACTTATCATTAAACATCATAAAATATCTCCTAATTATTATTAGGTAAAATAGTGAATTTTTTAGACTTACTCTCAAAGGAGAAATCATTCTGAAATAGGATATATTTAGAGCTAAATGAAAATTTCACGTATCAAAACCTATGGGAAGGAACTAAAGAAATTATTTAAATGATATTTTATAATTGTAAATGCTTATATTCAAAGAGGAAACTGAACATTAATGAGCTGAGCATCAATTTTAAGAAGGTAAAAGAACAGAGTAAACCCAAAGTATATAGAAGGAAAAAAATAATAAAGTTAGAGCAGCCCATTAAATATAAAACAAACTTGCAATAGAAAGGTTTGGCAAACAAAAGATTTGATTCTTTCTAAAACTAACAGAGTGATGATAATAAGAGATGAGACAGGGTGGTGAAGTGGTAGAGTGTGGGCTCTGGAGTGACTGCGTGGGCTGAGTTCCAGTCGGACCACTTACCAGCTGCATGGCCTTGGGACTTGTGGCTGTCATCTGTAGAGCCTCAGTTCCAACTCTCCAGCACCATGCACTAATGGGTTATCCTTACAAGACCTCCAAGGTGTGTGCTCTTACTCCCATTATGAAAAATGGGTATTATAATCCCTATTTTACAATATGGAAAAGTTTGGAAAATTTATGAAATTCTCCCTGTGTCACGTGTTGGAATTTCTGACTCCAAAGTCTACCCTACCCTCTCAACCACCATGCTCATTTACAAGATAAGAGGAAAATCCCTGTTGGCCATTCAATGTAATGATGTTCTGGAAGGCTATTTACTACATACCTAACTTTAGGGAAAATATCTCATTTAAGGTAGACTCTAAAACAGAAGGGTCAAATGTGCCTTGCTCACACAAAGAAGGTCCTACCCCAACTAATGGTAACCCAGTGGTTAAGATTATGGGCTTCAGAATGAGAAATAACATAAATAATTGCTAAAATTTATTAGACACTATGTTCCCAAGAAGAATGCTAAGTTCTTTCAATCCTCACAGTATCCATTTTCACAGGTTCCGTTATTGTCCCATAATACAGACTAAGAACTGCAGGTACAGGAAAGTTAAACTCACCCCACTACTGACAGAGGCAGGATTCCAAGTCAGGCTATCTAATACCAGAGATAACATTCTTATACACACTAAACTCCTGGGCCCTGACTTCCTCATCCAGCAATTGGGGATGACAATACCCATGCCCTGAACTGTGAAAAGGAAATGAGACCAGGTAGGTAAAGCCACCAGCACAGCATCTGGCACGCAGGAAGTGATGATGATGGTGAAGAGCAGGATGATGATGGTGACCATAATTGGTACTTGCAAAGACATAGAACTAGTTTCTCCAGAGCAACTCAATGCACAAAATCCTCAGAAAGAAATCTTTCTATTTCACTCACGCAAATTTTCATGGGGACAGATCGTTTGTGCTCCATGCAAAAGCCTATTTGCAAAATCAAAAATCATAGCATTTTGCATTATATGAAGCTTTAAAGAAAAGTATTTAAAAGAACATGACAAATAAAACTGTAGAGAAGTGGAAGGGAAATGCTCACATTACCCATTGCATAAGTCTAGCCTTGAACTTAATTTTCCAGAATTCTTGAAATATCAGTGATCGCAGCATAAAACACCAATTAATCAGGCGGTGTTTGTTCTCTATGTGTGAGTCACTGTTGCCATCTACAGTTAAATATGGGGTGTGCAGCGCTGCCAAATAACTGACTAATTCTAAGAACATAGTCCTGGAGATGGTGGTGCTGAGAAAATATGGCTGTTCAATGAGTACAAAAAATGAAAATGCTACCTGAAGGAGCAGTTCTTTTTCAACCACCTCTTCAGTCTTGCTGATGAGACGTTTCTGCAAGGTGTGGATTTTTTGTATCAGCTCAAAGGCACTGGGATCACTGGCCTGTCCAAGGGAGCAACAACAAGTAGCTGAAATATCAAAGCACCAAGGTCCCCATATGTAATAATTATTGCTTTATTAAAATCTACTGCAACTTGTAGGCTCAATACAGAGAGAATAAGAGCCAAAAACAAACAAAACAAAGATATAACAAATGGGATAGTCATAAATACCTGGCCCCCAAAAAGCAGACTTCAATTCTCCAAATGTCTTACCTAAGACTGTATTTAATTAGTCTATAAATAGAAAGTAAATATGTTTATTCCAACAGTGGGAATAACAATAATGGTAGTTACTATGCATGATATCTGATTATTTGCCACCATCCAGACACTATGCTATGTGCTCTTCATATGATATTATATTTCAGCTACAGGACAGCCCTATGAGACAGTATTAAACTTCTCCTATTACCGACAAGACAACTGAAGCTCAGAGGAGTTGAATCATTTACCCAAACTGAATTCAAGCCCAGAAATGCCTCACTCCAAAGGTTGAAGTTCTTAATTACTAGCTCTGAGGTTTTTCCTACCATCTCCTCTGTTTCCATAGGAATGAGGCAAGGTTCCCCAATTCATTCAGTCTTAGGATTCTCCCTTGGTAACTGTCAACAAGAAGATTCATTGCAGTCTATGAAGGGGAAGGTTTCCAGGATTGCGCCTCTGCTCATTATTGGCAGCAGAACTCAACCATGGCATTTGCCTCTAAGTGGAGTTATCAATCTGAAAAGCCTTTGATGCTCCTTCAATAGCTATCTGTGTACAATTCAAACAAGGCATACAGTTATAAATTGATAAGACTTTAAGCCAAGACTTCACTTTCAACTGTACTGACATTTTGAATTAATGTAACAGCTAAATATTTTCAGCTGCCTCCCAGTCTCTATTTTCTAATTTTTTAAATGGAAATTGATGTGGAATTGGAAACTTTAAAGATCTGCATAAAAACACATGGAATAAACTAATGCAACAATAAATGAATTTAAAATCTTCAGCTTCACTTCCCCAGACATATCCATATTGCTGTTGCATTAGTAAAGTATGCTACTCTTGGCATTTGAAGAGGAATAAATGAAGGTCCAAAATAGGGGGAAAAGAGAGAGAGAGAGAGATTTCATTGACTCTGTCTTTGCTTAAGAAATACTAAGCAGTGCCAGCTGATACCCATATATTGGGGCCTAGATTTGGTATACATTCACTTGACAAGACAAAATGTTGTTAAAATTCAGGCCTTGTGTTTACACAACAATTTATAACGCATTAAAAATAAAAATAAAAATAAAAAACCTACTTGGCTGATTTTCTACCTCGTCCTGCTTTTTCTTATATCACATACTTATACCTCTCAACATGAGTATGAGATATTTAGTGGAAGCCTCTTTTGGCACCCACATTGCTAGGTTCAACTAAAGGAGATGGTTGTCTTTTTCTTAAATAAGAAGAGTTTGTTATTTTTCGTGCTGGTGGTAATGTCTATCAGGAAGTCATTAAACAAAATATGAAGTTGGTTATCTTCAGTCAGTGGAACTCCAGCTGTGTCCCCAGATCCTAAGAGAAAAGATGTGGTCAACACAATGCTAGTCTTTCAAAAAGAGGACTAGTTCACAAAACCATATTTTCTGTAAGAAAAAGAGGGATGCAAAGAACAGTCGAAAGACGATGAAGATGCTGCTGACCAATACAGTTAAAAGTCAATAACATTCCAAGACTAACAGGCAGCTGTAAGATATCTGGTTGACCAAAACTACCTAAAAACTAAAAATAAATGCCAAATGGTGAAACCAGTTCACAGCTTTCACTGGGCCTTCTTTAGGCAGAAAGGATTTTGTCCAAGAATTTTTAAACAAATCCCAAATGCACCATCTGGTTCTGGAACAACTCAATTTACATCTGATCTAGCCTTACACTTTAGGTGACAATTTGCATAGCATTAAATAAAACCTCACTTCTCATTGTGCTTTAGGTTAGAAGCTTCGTGTGGGATAGATGAAGGGATTTGGGATGGGAAGAATGCTCTGCCAGATGTTACCTCGAGCTTCCTCCATCTGTGCACGTTCATGGGGTTCTCCAGTTCCTCCTCCAGAGCGCGGCATCTTGTCCTCTCCTTCAAGAATTCTCTTTGCATGTGAAAAAACTCCTGTCTGAAAAGGGCAAACTTTATTTTGCAATAGATTATTCCATTTGAATATCCTACTTTTCAGTGGTTATATCCACACTATTTACACTATAAAAATTGGAATTAGGGAGACTTTTGTGAACACTGTGACCAGCCTCCTAAATCTGGGCAAGACATAGACAGTATTAATTCTTGCAGAGCTCAAAAATTGCCTTAGTGTTTAAGAATAAATAAATAAATAAAGTATCAGGGCTTCAGAGTCACGATTCAAAATACTCAAGAAATTTAGAAAAAGAAAACAAGAAATTTAGAAGTATATGAAAGGAACAACGGATGGAGAGGTGAATTATGAGCATTTCAATAAACTGGTAAATGTTTCCCAATGTCTGTGTAGTAGCAGAAGTGAATAGGCTACATTCTACACACAGGACTCCTGATTGCAATATACCTGACATTAATTAGGGCAGTGCAGTGCATCTCCACCCCCACTACGCACTGCATCCCTTTGCCTGATCCCAATCCCCAAAGGCATTCTGCTTTAGTGGTCTAGCTTGGGTCCTGGGCTTCGTAGGTTTTTTAGCCTTGCTGGAAATTCCCATGTGCAGCCCAGATTAAGAAGCACCAAGTTAGGAGTTGTGACGATATTTTTTCCCAAGTTCTACAACTACACAGATGGCTGGAAAAGTCCTGAAGAACTAGCTCTGGCTCAAGCACACCACTAAAATCTGTAGGAATCTCTGGTTAATTGGTAGAATGCGACAGTCATCCTCAGTATCCTGTGAGCTGGCTGTCACCCTGTTGAACAAGAAGCTTTGTTGGGAGGCAGAGAAGAGGCAAGCACTTGTATTGACATGGGCAATAAGGATATTATTATCTGTCTTCGTCTGCTGCGAGTGTGCAGATTACTAATACTAAGTCATCTCTTTTACTTAATTGCTTCATTTAAACCAATAATACAACTTCCCCTCATTAGCAAGACAAACCATTAGAATTAACTGCATGATGTTCACTCAACAGGGCGCTCAGAACAAGCTGCTTAGAATTAAAAGCATATTTTTAACACTTCGATTTTCTAGAGTGTCATCAGAAGAGGAGGGCAAAAATATTAGCGACTATATTTGATGGTCTACTTTGTACTAGACTTTGTGGTAGGCACATTAAATCTGTTCCCATGTTTAATTGTGACTACAAGTTCAAAGCAGAGAAGTTCAGTGATTTGCCCAAGGTTACACAGCTTGTATGTGGCAAGGCTGAGATTGGAATTCATGCCTGCTTGCCTCCAGATTTTATTCAGTTGCCTTCCCACTGAAAAGAAAAATGAAATATATTAACAACAAACTAGCTATATTGACTACGAATGGATAAAATTTGGTCCTTTGTGTATGTAATAAAAACAACTCATGGCTGACAAGTTTAGTGATGGTCTTGGACACCATTCAATAGCTACTTAGAATGAACACATTTGTCTCCCAAACGTCAGCAGTGGTGTCTCTGGGTAGTAAAGTTATGAGTGATTTTCTAATCCATTTTTAATATTTTCTCTGCATTTCTCACATTTTCTACAACGAATTTGTACTGTTTTCATCATGTGAAATACAAGCAACTCTAAAAAAAAGAATCGATCCATCCTTGATAGTGACAACCTCACTATTCCTGAATATATTCATTGCATCTAAATATCAAAACTATTTTCTAATCCAATTAATTTGAGAAGCAGGGCAAACTCTGCCTTATCCCAAGGTGGTCAAGGATATTGTTCATCTACAAGTCTGTGGGGAAGAAGAATAGATACTGAGAAAATATCAGAACTCTTATTTGGTTTCCTGCAATTGCCCATATAAAACATGGTGATGTTTTCCCAAAGGGAAAGTAGATCTTGTGTAATGTAAGATTTAAAGAAAGAAGAAGGCGCACTAAGCTAAAGTGAAAGTTACAGAAGATAAATCAAGAGTGAGATAAAAAATTTGGCTGCCTTCTAAGGAAACGGAGATTTCAAGTAGTGATAAAATTAAATTTTCCACCTCTTTTCATCCTGTATATAATTCCAAGAAAAAGATGTGCAAATGTTATCAGGATTAAATTTCAATATTGATGCTCCATCTCTTGCATACTGCCTTATTAAAGAAATTCAAAAGAGTTCATTGGGGAAAATGTTTCTGAATTGTAACTAATTTGTGTTTGTGATTTGACTTAAAATTTATTTTTTAAAATCCAGAATAAAATGTGTTTAAAAAACCTTTTTGCACTCACCCATACTCCCCCGAAAGGAAGCTTGCTTGTTTTTGTGACATAGCACAGGCACAAAGTAAATGTTATGAAACTGTTCTTCTCATTATTCACTAATTATCTCATTACATATACTTCATTTTTTTACAACTCAATACAGACCTTCAATGATCAATAAGCAAAAACACAATGTCATTTCAGGAGCTCCCCAGACCACTATGCCCCTAGCCCTGAGGTTCTCCTATTACCTGAGTTCTTCAATATTAGCCACACTCCTGGCAAGAATCCCCTTTTCCCGGCGAAGCTTCTTGATCTCCAGTTTGAGGATTCTCATGTCCTCCACCCTCTGGTTGTACTGACTTTCGCCTTTGTTCAGCACCGACTGTTGTATCTTAATCTTTTCGTAGAGCAAAGCTAACTCGTCATTGCGCCGAACAAGCTGAGACCCCAGGATATCTCTCTCACTGATGACCTAGAAAGGGAGGAAAGGGCATGGCCACAGGGAACAAAAAGTCTTACTTTTCATTATGGCAGCAACATTCACTCAGTCAATGAGTACTGACTTTTGAATGCCCACACGTGCTGGGCACCACGCTGTGCACTGGAAATAGCTGGCTACACAATCAACACTGAACACCCTACCCCTAGAGTTTTCAAAGACACCATACAACAAAATCCATAATAATAATTATAGTCCAATAATCTAATAATAATCTTTGACATATGGGTGTGTCATTTTGTTTATTTCTCAACCCATTATATTTCTAAATGTTTAAATCTGAATGACTTTATGATGGGCTTGCTCTTGCCAAGGTCCACCACTTCTTGCACTGGCCAACTTCTCTCTGCCAGATCCCTAAGAATACTTAAGTTTCTAGCCCTCAAATTATGCATTTGAGCTTCTGTCTCCCAAATCTTGCAATTATGAATTACAATCATATTGCAAGCTTCCTGAGGACAGGAACCTTATTGCCTTGTTGGCCAATGTGTCCCCAGTGCCTAGAGGAGTGGAAAGTACTTGTAAATATGAGTTGAATAAAGGAATGAATATTTCAAAATTAATCAACATAAGATAGGCCTCTGCTGCTGTGCTTCCAACAGGGATAGGAGAACTTAGAGAGAAATGAGGATTCCTGACAGGTGGGAAAAAACATTTGTGTCTGCTGATGAGGTGTGCAAGTCTGACTAGAAGGTGTTCTACCTGGTTTAATTCCTTCTTCTGCCTCAACCTTTCCCCGTCAGCCTCAGCAATGATTCGCAGGAGTTTTCTCTCTTCAGCTTCTTGCTTTTCAATGAAGTGTTTGGTCTCCAGGGCTTGTTGTCTCAGTTTCTGCAGCTCAGCCTGACAAGGAGTGGAAGATAGAGACAAATTTCATTCCATTACAGCACAAACCAGGACCACAGGGCCCAGATTTAGATGTATAGTTGTGCTTCTTACTCTTTCTCTGATGTTTCATTTACCACAGTTTGATTACTTTCACAAACAAAACAAGCTTATAACACAGATACACACACACACACACACACACACACACACACACACACACAAGCTTATAAAGAAATAACCATGCCCATTACAGTGATCATGCATAGTCTATGAGTTGTGCTCTTGAGGGATTTCTATCATTTTTCTATCTATGTGTAGCAGGGGCCTCATTGGTATTCAGCAGCATGTCATCTCTTACCAGCTAAACAATGGGAGAATTCACAAAGAGGAGTGCAGAGAAGGATGTGGAGGCAGGAGAGGACAGGAGAGGCCTCCATATGCACCAGCTTCTAACACCACCAGCACATTAACTGCAAAGGCAAAGCCCATTGCAAGCAAAAGTTAAGTTAGTCAAATATAACAACTAAGTGTCTCTCTTGTAAAACATCCTGATGGAGTAGAAGGGATGTTATGGTATAAAAAGATAGATGCTACTCCTACAACACTTCCAATCCAGATGAGAGAATAAGATCGACAAATATTAATAAGTTCGGGCAATAATTTTTCAAAATCTTTAGCATTATGTAGACAGTGAATTGATATTACAGGTCAAAGGAAAAGTTAACACTGAGCTGGAGTAATCAGGAACACTTTCTCAGAGAGCTCAGGCCTGAATCTTACCCTTGAACGTAAATGAAAATCATAGGAATTATGAGGAAAAAGTGCTATGGACTGGTATACTTCAAAAGAAAAATTTATCCCATCAAAGTATACATTCACTTCTATTTCACAAGTATGTACCATATCCCAGGTATTTGTATAGCTACTCTTATCTCCAATAAATGCAATTACAAAGACAAAAGCAAATAACTTGCCCAAGGTCACAGAGCTAGTAAGCAGAGCTGAGTTTCCAACCCAGATCTTTCAATTCCAAAGCCTATGTGCTCCTTCTTGTGCCCCCATCCAATAGTCCCAAATCAAATACAGAAGATGAGCAAAATCTGAGGGATTCACCATCCATTGAAGGTGATAAATATAGCCAACAACAATATGATAACGCTATCTATCTGTGTGAAATGAATATGGGAGTACACACGAAGGAGTTTCTATTTCTGCTGGGGTTCAGAGAGGAACAAATCAGGTCCTTAGCAGTTGACATATATTGCCAAAATGGAGGGCTCTGTGTTGGGAGGAGGGGACATGCAGCAGTCAGGCCTGTGTGAACAAAGGCATGTAAACTACAAAGGACCTGATGTGTTCCCCAGACAGTAAAGCATCCACTGTGGCTGAAGTAAAGAGTCAGGTAGGAAACAGGTGGAGGCAAGGCTGGCAAACAGCTGAGCCAGTCTGGGAAAGGTCTTGTGTGCCATCCACTGTATAGAGTGTGCAATGGGGAGCCACAGAGTTACCTATGTTAAAGGAAAGTAGAATATGTCTTTGAGAGGCTCCATCCCAGCTGGGATAAAAGATATCACACACTAGGTCAGCACAAGAAGAAACAAATGAGGAGGAGGACTTCTGCTTTTACCCATGCCAGGAATCACAAGGGAGGTGACAAGATGATACTAAGGTTTCAACTTGCCAGTGACTTGCAGGTTGGCAAATGACAGTAAAGGAGTAATATTTTTTTTTCTTCAAGTGAGCACTGGGACTCTCACTCCCTACCCACCCAGAAAGGTCACCAAGGTGTTTTTTTAAATCTCATACTTGCAAGTGCCTATGAACCAATCCATCTTTAGTCAAGGTCTGCCTCCAATCCATGAAGACCAAGAATCATTAATTCCACTCCTCAGACTTATCCAAACAGTAGAAGATACCATGTACCTAATAATGAATGTGAAATGTCACAAACTAAATGTAACAAGTTACTGTAAAACCAAGGGTTTATTTTATGATATTTTGTTTGTTCATTCACAAAATATGTTTTGGTCTAAAAAACTCATTGAGAAAAGATCTCATCTAGTATTCACCACTTGGGGGGATTGCCTGTTAGAAAGGAAAGAAAAAAAATCAGTTTTTCTGTTCCTACAATTATTTGAAGTAACAGCAAAGACAGCAATAAAATACCTGTTTAGCTCATGCTTTCTTTAATAAAACTTTTATTTTCCCAGATGTGCAACATTCACTACCCTGTTCTTAAGTGCCAAGAGCTGATTAGAATCCATCAGGAGAACAAAATGAAACCCCTGTTATATTAAAATGCAATCAATGGTGTGTAAAAGTATCTGTCTGAAATGTAAAGCCATCCGTGCATTTGGCAATGCTAGGTATTTTTTTCATGATATATCAAAATTCTGAGTAGTCTCCTTATGTCATAAATTTATGGACTGTAAATAAGATGTGGCATTAGACATTGGCAGCGAATGTTAACATCAACAAAATACCTTGGGTCTAATGCATTTAGCAGTTATAAATCTGAGCTGTCTCACCCAGGAAGGCTGATAATGACTGCTATGCACCCAAAAACTCATTAAGAATTGTCCTAGGTGGAATCTGGGGCTTCTGCACCTATGCAAGTGTTACTGGTGGTGTGAAGTTGTAATTAGATGGACTAACACACCCTTTACTCACTGCTTCCAAAATTATATAATTTTGCAATAGGTATTTATGGACTATATATAATCTAACTTGGCTATGGACATAAGTCATATCCAAAAGCCATATTTGTGGGAGTCTCTTTCATTCATCCAGAATCCTGACATTCACTGGGTTTCATAGAAACCATCTGTTTAAATCTAGCAAAACAAATAGAACCACCTGAAATTTTCTGGCTATGGGAATAATTATTCACCATGAATCAAAGTACTGTCAAATAGATATGGGATGATTGGAAAGTGATGAGACAGAATCAGAGGATTGTTAGGACTGGAAGGCAGATACTCCAAACGAAATGGCTCCTTCAGTGCTGATGAAACAAGACCCAGACAGAATGGGCAGATGAACACAGATGCAACAACATCTGCAGAGGACTATTGACATTCTGTCATAACCATAATGTGCTGACAGTGTCTAGAATCCTGAAGCATCAGTAGAGCCTGGTAGCAACTGAAAAACCAAAAGGAAGAGGGAAAGACAAGAATATTCTATTGAGGGGGATGCATGAGAATGGGGATGATCTACAAAAGACAGCTGTTTGTCTATCAGCTTAGAAAGGTAGTAAATTGGGTTGTCCTGTCAAGGACATCTCATGGTCTACAAAGCAGGCTAGGGTTTGCACCCCCCCATCCCCAGGAGGGATTATGTACCCACCTAGCTTTCTACAACTCACAATAATAAGATAAATGTCTCTTGGAGCAAAGCTACAAGAAAATATGCCCTTTCCCTTAAGGTTTTGGTTGGCAAACTTTAGATCCAGGGACCTGTGTAAAATGTGATTCAAATTCCAAGACTAAAAAAGTCAAGAGGCTAAAACTTAACATTTGATATGTCATATTTTTCTAAAGAATGTCGAACAGGCTTAATGATAGGCCAAAATCATCCCATTGGAGCACCATTGCAAGTCACCCTTGGATAACCTCAAATAATAAATCAGGCAGGCATCTTCCTCTGTTCCTCATTCCTGCCTTAATGGGAAATGCTGGGAGAAAGGGCATCCTAGTTCCACAGTAAGTCCAAAGCAGTCATCTTTCTATAATCAATGACCCAGAGCCATTCAGACCTGGGATTTGCTATTTGGAGCAGACTCTACAGAGCAGAAGCCTTTTAATCATCCTCATGTCCACCAGTTGCCAACTATGCTGACCCAGGACCAAATCACATGACCATATGGCCCTTTATTTTATTTTGTTTTGATGCTTCTTTGCAGCTGTATGTGTAGATGCCTGATGGCAGAAGGTATATGTGGAACAAATATTAACTAAAGTCAAACTCTGAGGAATTAGGAATAAATGATCTTTTGTATAAGACATTTATTCTAAACCAGGATTTTGTAGAAGACAGTTAGTTCTACCTTGGACCCCATCATGGGGTAATAATTAATCTTTTGAATAGAGCATTACTTGGGAATGAAAGAAATGAGAACAAATGCCATCCTCCAAAGGGAAAGAGATCAAGCACCAAATGGATTATACTGAGCCTTGATAACACGGTCCTTGAGGCTCATGGGTGAAGCAATGTTTACAGTAAGATTCTTCTGATTAGTATTAGTAATAAACTCCCATCTCACTACAGGTGTGAAATAGACTGTTTTCTATAAATCTCTACTTTCAAACAAGAGGAATAAAGGTAAAGATGCAGGATATTTTCAAATTGTAGAAAATATTTGTATTTTTTTTATATATATAATAACTTTAATGTAGAATTTTCTATTCTTTTTCTATCATAAACTGGAGTGGGGGAGATGAAAGTCTCAGACAGATAAATATATCAGTTACAATATCTTTTTTGTAAAGGTACTTTTGTTACAATTTAATCTTTCTCAAACCAAATGTGCCAAGGTTAATTTAATGTAGTAGTTCTATTTCCATGAAAACCTATCACTAAGTTGACAAAACTCATTATTAAATTGAGAGTGTATATTTCAATCTATGGCATCTTAGAATCAAGGAAATATGGTATTACACCTGCCCAAAACTAGACACACATTTTTTAAGATAGGGACTATCTTTGAAAACTAATATGTGCAGAAACCAGTCTCGAATTTGTTGTCAACAGTTTCTGCAAATGGCTCACAAGCATCCATGAGTATTCTGCACAGACATTTTCAAAACAAAAGTGTCATTATTCTTTTAGAAGTTCCTTTTTAACCCTCTGGTCAATGGATTAGAAGGAAAATCTATTGTATTGGACAGATAAAGAAAAATGCATAAGATTTTGTGATAGGTACAGTAAAGCATATCTAGTTAGAGGATTTGAAATGGCATAATTATTTGGTATATATTCTTGGAAAGAGTTTTTATGTTAGTAGACATAGACTGAGCCAAATTAGTAGATTTAAGAGGATATGTCTTAGTAAGATTTTTGAAGACAGAAGTGATCGTTAAAGGAGCAGCTGCAAAGTTCTTAGGCCCACAGAGGTAAAGTGAAGTGTGAACCCAGTCTAGGGCAAATCAAGTGACGATAGAGCTCTGACACCCAGTTGATGAGATGGCAGGCAGAAAAGTCATGTGCACATGAAGTAAACAACTGTTGGGAGTTAGAAGGACAAAGCATCACATTATACAAGGCCAGGAAGAGTTTGGGAAGGCTCAGTGCGAGTGCAATGGCTAGACTTGGCTGTGAATGCAGAGGGGTCATAGCAAGCCTGCAAGCTCAAGGACTTCTTAGGCACTGCTGAACTATTAGGTTCTCTTCCACAGATGTAGGATAGCCTGATGTAGGATAATAGTATATGTGCATCTGTGCTGTTCCTCTCTTCACCTTCCCCACTGAAGCTGGGAGTTCACCTGTAAGGGAACACTAACCTAGAGATGGTAGAACGCATACCCTTTGTGGCTTGGCTTGGGTAACTAGCAACTGTGAACACAGGCAACCTTTATTGTTCTCCCTGCCCATTGCTGCCTCCAGTTACAGTGGAGGCTGCCTCAAATGCGACTATTGATCCATCACTTGTATTATAAGGTCAGTACCTTCAAAGTTTCCTTTTCCTTTTCTATTCGCTGCTGTTCTAGATGGAGCTTCACAAGTGCTGACTCTTTGGCAGAGATTTCTTCTTTCAGCTGATCTACCTGATGGGTCATAATCTTTAACTTTCTCTTCATTTCTGTTATTTCATCCTAACAAAATGAAAGGAGCAATGTTTGAAAGTGAATTAAGTAGACATCATTGTCTCTATGGAAGTTCAATACATATTTAAGAGCTTTTATGGAAATCTCTCTCAAAACTATGGTCTCTTGACCAAGTACAACTGGGCAATTTGCTTTTCTGTTGTGCCCATCAACCACAGAGTACCTTATAGCATTAGTTCTCAATATAATCTCATGAGATTTATATGACATTATGAACATGCCACACCCACACACACACACACACACACACACACACACACACAAGTCTTCATTTTCCAAAAGGAATTGGAAGCACGACAAACACTATAACCAAAAGATTTTTAAGCAAAGTTCTGGAATTAAAAGGCAATGTACTGCTGCACTCTGAGTCACAGTAGCTATTAACAGTTTTAAAAACAGGATAGAGGGAAATGACAATTCCACATAGTAGTTAAAAATAGGACCATATTCTCCACATCCTATTAGGTTGTGTCATTTCCATTTCAAACAACCTAATGCTTCTGCATAAATTGATCTTCTTTTTCAAGCAAATTACATGAGATTTCTTTTTTGATCTATTTAAATTCTGCCATTAGGATAATAGAAACTGTTTTAACCCCAGAGTAGAGAGGAATAAAAATGTAAACACATATATTTACCTGAGCCTCAACCAGATTTTTGCTGTACAGATTCCTGTCTGACCTCACAGCTTCATATAGGTTCTGTTGCTGTTTCAGTTTAGTCTCTGATTCAGCTATTTTTTTCCTGTAGTCAAAAATCTGCATTTCACGGACTTTTATGTCTTCCATGTTCGTGAGAACCTGGAGGAGAAAGAAGTATATGAATGTGGTTAGATAGCCCATCTGTGCTTAGAGGTTCGGGACAAATGGAGTTTTTTACCTAAGGATAACTGATAAAGATACCAACAATCAGAAAATCTGACTGTGGCTATAATCACTGCAGTACAACACAGAAATTCACCCCAGCTGATTAGGGGCAAACATACATTTTATCTACGCCAGAGTTCTGCTCAAGTATAAAGGCTTAACACAGTTATTTTGTGATCACAAGAAAGAAAAAAGAAGAAGAAATTCTTTCAGTTCTGGAAAACTCTCCTGACCAACCCACCCACCAAAAAAGAAAAAAAGAAAAGCCACAAGCTGAAACAGGGATTAACACAAAACACTAAGAAAGATAAGAGATAACTTAGCTGTTTGGCTGTACTGGTGCTTTATAAAGTTAACCATGAGACAGAATAGTGACTTTTGAACTTTGATAGCAATCATAACACTGCCTTGTCAATGTCCAAACCACTCCATCAGGGGAACTCAAAGGACTTCATAAAAATGCATTCTATTATACATGAAATACTTCCAGGAAAGAAGGTATGCAAGAATGGCGGCCTCCTTTCTGCAAGTATGAAAAACCAAGGCCTGAAATTCCACCATGAGCCAATATTCTCCATGAACAATCCACACAGTAGAACAAAAGTAATCATGACTATCAGTTATAATGTTGACAGAACATTGTCCATTTTTTGAAGGACAACTTCTTTTAAAAGTCCATAAGAAGAAAAATCAAATCTAGGAAAATATATTAAATCAGTGTAAGTAACTGCTGGAACGCATAAGGAGAAAGTTCTTAAGAAAATTGTACTGCATTTTCATAGAGTTCCCTTAATAAGTGATTACAATAGAAGGATTTAGATAGAACAATGAGACAGAGCATGGAAGAAAGGAGACATGGCCATGGAAGGTTTTTCTGAGAAAGTGACATTTTACCTAGAATCTAATGATGGAAAAGGACCTCTTAGATCTTTGTCATCCAATATTCAACATAACTCACATGTGGGCTAATTGTGGGCAACATGTTCCCAAATTATAGCACTTATAAGAATCCTTTTTTTTTTTTTTTTACTTGTGCAATTACTATTCCAGAAAATACACTCTGAAAATATGCCCTGTTCTATTGTTTTCCCATCAGAGTTAAAGATGACTATTGCTTAAAATGTTTATCCTTTATATCTTTAAATAAGCACCTCTCAATCTTTTCTTATAGATACTTAAGAAGGAATGGGATTAAATTTTGGTAAATGCCTTTAACATATATAATTTTGTACTTTTTTTCTTTTTGACTCAATTGATTTGATATTCTTGCTAATAAATTTTTTTCCTTTTACAATATTCTAGCCGGGCTCAGTGGCTCAACCTGTAATCCCACGTTTTGGGAGGCCGAGGTGAGTGAATTGCCTGAGCCCGCGGATTCGAGACCCACGTGGGCAACTTGGTGAGACCTCATCTCTACAATAAATTTTAAAAAATTAGCCAGGCGTGGTATCACGCGCCTGTAGTTCCAGCTACTTGGAAGGCTGAGGCGGCAGGATCGCTGGAGCCCAGCAGGTCGAGGCTGCAGTGACCGGGAGCAGCCACTGCACTCCAGTCTGGGCGACTGAGTGAGACCCCAACTCAAAAAAAAAAATTATAATTTATTTATGCATAGTTTCATGTGCAATAATTTCAAATAAATACATAAATGTGAAGTATACATTTATTTTCTTTTCCTTATTTACGTGAACTTTCTCCCTTTAACCTACATCTGCCCATCATATACATATAACGCTAACTAAGTTAACAATCTAGCAGGTTTCCTTCTGTTTCATATTTTTCTTTGAATTCTGCAAATTCTATTCAGGTCTACAAACATAATAATCATACCTAATATTCATCACGTAATTTCTATGTTCCTGGCATTTTACCTGTATTAACTCCTTCAATAGCCTCGAAAATCTTGTAAGATGTGTATTATTACTACCTCAATTTTACAAAGAAGGAAACTGAGATCAAAAGAAGTACTATTCATAAATTTATCCAACTAGTAAATAGATACAGAGATTTGTTTTCCTTTGTTTTTGGTTGACTTTTAAGGTTTTGTTTTCATTTTTTGTTGGGAGCCAGCCATGGAGGCCCACTGAGCGTTAGGGGTCAGGGAGGGCCGTGGACCCCGAGACCACTAGGACGTGTTCGGGAGCTGTAAACCCCATTTTCCTCCCCCTTTTGCTATGCAGCACAAACAACCTAAAGGGACTCTGTTGGCCTAAGCTGAAGGCTCTGTGACTGTGACAGGCATAGCTCACTCTAGAAACCCATTATTCCTGTTTCCCATAAACTGTGGTTTCGGCTTAGGTATTAGATATAATTCAAATTCAGGT